TTTCTTTAAAAATTAAAAATTCTGCCTAAATACCACAGTATAGCACCACCTTCAGCTTAAAACATAGAATTTGAGTCATTTTGAATAAATTTTAGCCAATGGCTAAAGAGTAAGATACTACGTAAACCAGTAGAGTACTACGTAGCAGCTCTGTGTCAAAGTTATAAAAGCACCGAGCGTCTCGCCCACGCCTTGTGGGGAGTTGGGAGTTGGATTTGCAAGCGAGTGTAAGAGGTTAGCGGTAGTTCAGCATTAGCATATAGCATTAGCATATCCTAGTCTTTAGCATAGCTTTTAGTGTTATACATACTTATTTAGTGTTAGCTTGGCTTTTGGATAGTGTAGTTTAGTTAGTGTTTGGCTGTTAGTGTTATTAGGAAAGTAGTTCAGGTTTAGTGCTCCATGTCGTGTTAATATGGTGAGAAGGTGTAGTGTAGTATGGTTGCGGTGGCTCTGTGGGGTTGTACTCCTTTCCGCTGGACTTAGAAATTAGGCGCCAGTGGTTGCGCGCAATCGGTGTCTGGAAAACATTCAGCTCCCGCCTGGTGCTGTAGTTTGCACCCAGCATTTACCCACAATTCTGCACGTCTCCATTTGAAGAGGGAGGCTGTGCCCACCGTGGCTCTTCCGCGATTTAGATGCAGCCCACCGACTCTGCTCCCCCACCATGGCGGGCTCCAGTCTGAGGTGATTAAGCTAAATGCAAGTTTTAACATCTTCTAAAGACAATTTCCAACCTAAATGCAAAGTTTGAGTGACGTGGTTCACTCCATTTAGCTAATATCAGCCTACACTGCCGTCGGGCAGATTTGTCAAGTTCACAAAATGTGGAACGGGATGTAAGGTTAGAATCAGCGGTGAATCGGAACATATCTCGAAGCCCTGGCCGACAAAACGGTCCACATGACTGTCAGGCTCAGAGAAAATTCGGGTTGTTTTTGTGTCAGTCGGTAATTCTGCAACAGTGGCTCTAACTAACAGCACCAGTTGACAGACAGCATTACAGCGTGAAATCCAGCTGGTGACCCGGTTCCGTGAGGAATTCTGTTCAGGAGGTCGCATTTCAGGCTCTCTTCACATCATATGTGACTGACTTTTATGTTATAATGATCACACACTAGGAATGTTATAAAGCGCCTATATAGGACAATTTCTTTTGTATATTATCTGACTTTATAAACAATGTGCTTCTATTTTTTTTCAGGCTAGATCTTCCCAAGACATTGGCTGTCAGACTGATTTTGTAGTCTGCAAGATTGCACTTGTCCAGGCTGACGTGAAGCCTTACTCGTAGCAAAGGTGAATTATTTTTAATAATCGTCTATGTAAACATTTTATTACCTTGTAGTTTTAATTTGTTTTACAGATTATTGTTACATGTGATTTTATGCTCTTTTAAACATTTATAAATGTGCTGCTTCTTTGTTTTTTACATAGCCACCCAGAATAGAGCTCACAGCCGCAGTGTGTCTGGTGACCCACAGGGACCATGACGGAAATTCATCTTCCAGAAAGTCCCAGAGCAGCATCCACACCCCTGAAAAGACCAAGATGTGAGGTGTCTGCTGTTGATTCCAGCTTCCACCTCAGTGACAGTGCAAGCTCAGTGAACTGTTCAAGGTAAAAAAAAAAAAATTAAAACATTTCAGAATTTTTAAGAGATTAAGTAACAATTAAATAAGTATGTGATTACATCATGACATCATGAAGGAGGCTACTCATTCTGCCCCTGTGACACTTGGTGGTGACGTGTGAGCTGATTCACCTGGTAAATAACTTTTACATTAACTATTTTGTTTTTGCTATCAAAAGTAAATTAACTAATAACCTGCATTATTGCAGGACACTCAGCAAAATATGGACTCTACACCATGAGGCAGGCACACGTTAATAAGAGCACATAAGGTGAGAAACACCACATGTTATTGTACACTGTCCTGGAATTGTTTTCTTTCTGCATCTCATCATTTGCCTGGCTGATCACCTGATAATTCCAGTCATCTGGTTATGACAGCATGAGGATGTCCTCACACACCTGTAACCTATCAGCTCATCTGGCAGAATAGAGAGAGAAGAGACAACACCACATCTTCTGTTCCTGGAAAGCCTTCAGCCATCCTTCGATGACTGAGAACCTACATCAGCTCTGTCTCCTGTCTGCCTACAATTATTATAATAAATATTGTGTTTGACAAGTTTTTTGTGCTGCCAAATGTCTCATTTTGATTCCAGTTTTGATATTTTAATGGATATTTATAAATTACATTAATTGAATTATCACATTGTTGCACGTTTAACTAGCTCTATTGTGATGAATTAAACTAGCAACTCACTGTTTAAACTCGTTTTAACTTCAAGCATGTTTAAGTATTTATGGACATGAACAAAAACAGGAAATATATAAATTGAGATTTATTTAATTAATATAACAAATAAGGGGGAAAGAGTCACTGAAAGGCACATTCTTCTGGAAGCTCCTGATCCTGACGACACCAGCAGGAGACCAGCTGCAGACACCAGAGGATCACCTACAACCAAGAGCAGCTAGTATCAGTAAATAAATAATGAAATCAGGGCAGTTTTAGTGGGCTGAACACATTACAGAATAATTTTCTCATGGGGTAGTTTCATAACTTTCTATGCAGCAGACTGTAACTTGAGCCCAGGGCTCCTGGAGAGCTGCTATCCAGCATTTTTCAGTGGTTTTCCTGCTTTAACAGGTTAGATTAGCTGTTAAGCAGCTCAGCTATTTGTTGCTGATTAAAACCAGATGTGTTGAAGCAGATAAATCTCTAAAACATGCTGAATACTAGCTCTCTAGGGCCGTGGAGCAAAACCCTGCAGCTAATCCAATGCTATGGCTAACGGCTACTTACCATTCAGAGCTGGTTCTGTTGGGTCGGTTCCGGTAATTTCAGGCAACTCACAAGCTCAAAACAATAAGGCTCAGGTCTGCTTGTCTCCTCCAAATAGACTTGGTCCCTTTCTTCTCGAATGTCTGGGTAAGGAGGGGGAGAAACGTCCTCCACTTCTAATAACTGCTCAGAGTGAAGGGAGCTAGCATCGTCTAGTTAGCCATCGTCTTTGTCACTGCCGCGGCTCCGCCCTCTCGGTCCTCCAGGAAATGCCTACTAATGTTGCAGTTTTTAAAATTGATACGTGGGTGGAGTAAGGCTCTGAGGGGGGCATTACCACCTCTTTAAGCAGGAGGGATGTCAGATGGCAGGGGGTGGGGGGTTCTTTCAGTGTGGGAAGTGGAGGGAGGAGAGCCAAGGCAAAAATGTTCACAGGAGGCGAGATCCAGAATTCACTGGAAACACACACGGCAGGCAGGAGGTCATACACGAGGAGGCAGAGATTTTAATACTTGCAGTTGGATTAGGCAGGTCTCGGTGGTCAATATCCAGAAAACAGGTCAGGTATCCGTGAGGCAGAAAGGCAAACAGGATCCAGGAAGGGCAGAGCAAGAGGCGAGGTCAGGGGCATAAACTTGGTCAGAACAGAATACTGGAGGATGAACTTGGTCTTGGATAGATGGCTGGATATCTATGGCAGAGAAGCACACAAGATAATCTGGCAGAGAGGACAGGCAGGTGGAGGGTTTAAATAGTGAGGGGAGCAGGTGGAGATAACCAGGTCATGCACAGGTAACCATGATCATCCTAATGAGTGCAGGTCCCGGAGAAGAGCAGCATTACATTGTCATGTTCAAGAAACCAGTTAGAAATGATTGGATCTTTATGACGTGGTGCATTATCCTGCTTGAAGTAGCCATCAGAGGATGGGTACATGATGGTCAAGGGATGGACATGGTCAGAAACAATGCTCAGGTAGCCGTGGCATTTAAACCATGCCCAGTTGGCACTAAGGGGCCTAAAGTGTGCCAAAAAACCTCCCCCACCCCATGACACCACCACCACCAGCCTGCACAGTGGTAACAAGGCATGATGGATCCACGTTCTCATTCTGTTTACGCCAAATTATGACTCTACCATTTGAATGTCTCAACAGAAATTGAGATTCATCAGACCAGGCAACATTTTTCTAGTCTTCAACTGTCCAGTTTTGGTGAGCTGGTGCAAATTGTAGCCTCTTTTTCCTATTTGTAGTGGAGATGAGTGTTACCCAGTGGGGTGTTCTGCTGTTGTAGCCCATCCGCCTCAAGGTTGTGCGTGTTGTGGCTTCACAAATGCTTTGCTGCATTCCTCGGTTGTAACGAGTGTTTTTTTCAGCCAAAGTTGCTCTTCTATTAGCTTGAATCAGTCGGCCCATTCTCCTCTAGCATCAACAAGGCATTTCCGCCCACAAGACTGCCGCAGACATGATGTTTTTACCTTTTCGCACCATTCTGTGTAAACCCTAGAAATGGTTGTGGGTGAAAATCCCAGTAACTGAGCGAATTGTGACTGGCCTGTCTGGCACCAACAACCATGTCACGCTCGGAATAGCTAAAATCACCTTTCTGTCCCGTCGTTCTGACCTTCAGTTTGGAGTTCAGGAGATTGTCTTGACCAGGACCACACCCCTAAATGCATTGAAGCAACTGCCATGTGATTGGTTGATTAGATCATTGCATTAAGGAGAAGTTGAACAGGTATTCCTAATAGTCCTTTACGTGGTGTATGTCAATCTAAATCTTTGACCATGGGGGGGCTGTTTGATACATGCTCCTTTGTGGACAGCAATACCTTAAGAGCTGGATAGAAGGCCTGTGTTTATTGTCACAGCTTTGGCACAGTAGTGAAAACACCAGGATGTTGCCTTTGAACAAGACATGTGACTTTCCAATTAGTATGGTGTTGAAAATCTACTCTTGAGAATAGTAAAAGCAGTTTGTTTCTGTCCTTGTCTGTCCACACCCCTAACACCAAATTGATCAAGGTTTTATTAATGTGCAAAATGTGAATCCGCTTAAGGCTACAGGACTCAAAGTGCAACAGAACAAAGATCTACTGAATCCACAGCACAGCTTTTATTAGTGCTTGTCACTGACTATTGTAATGGATGAGACAGGCATGCAGGTCCCCTGTGAGTGTGTCATGGTGTATAAAACCAGGCTGTTTGTGGAGCACAAACAGGCACTCCCCTGATCTGGATCAACATCATCCACCATGCATCCACTACTAGAATGAGATAAATAAATGCCAACCTTACAAAGCTACCATCTGGACTTGATTCTTCTGGTCTTGGTTCGATGACAACTTCTATTTGCAGTCAGAAAAAGAAGCATCAAAATTTTGGAAGAACAACCTAATAATCATCATCAAACAAGAACACAGAAAGAATGAATGGGAAGTATTTTATATTCAGAACTGATGACCATTAACATTTGACACTGCGTTGAACATAAGGGGAAAATGCTGAAAGTGATCCTCTCCTCAGGTCTTCAGTTGCCTCAGAGCTGTGAATTATGTCTGCCCTGCTTTACCAATGGGGGGGCACTAGTAAGCTCCAAAGCCCCCCAAGTCAGTGGGGTCAGAGTTCAGCTGGAGATGCAGGCCCTTTGGCAGCAGTTTGACCAGCTGGGAACAGAGATGATTGTTACGAAATCTGGAAGGTGACAACAGTCCTTACCCTTTTTATGGGGACCTGTTTGCTGCAGATAGCATCCTAAACAGCCTCAGTTTGGAGAAAAGGAGGGAGCTAATGGTGGATTACTGTTGTCTCAGGTAATTTCACATTATACTGTTACTTTGGTAGAAATATGACCGACAGGATCTCCTGGAGTCCTACATTTACCTGCTGCTGCTGATTTTTACACTTGTAAGCAGCCACATAATGCTAAATCAAATGTGGTGTAAATATGATACAAAGCTACTAAGTGATCTTAGGGATTACTTCAAAACAGCAGCAACAGATATTGCTCTTGACTGTGCTCAGACTGTTTGCTCATCAGCCCTGTTTCTCCAAACAGCTGTTCAGGAAGTTGTCTTGAGTGTGTACATTACAAACTATTTAAAACGTTCACACAGAAACACACTTTTAAATGGCTGATTATTCCCTTTAAGCATTTGTCCTTGATCTGCTTTTTATGCTTTCAATTTACCTCTGGGATTAATAAAGTATTTTTGAATTGAATTGAATTGAATTTAGTTGAGTTTCTCCAACTACATGAAATTCTTTATCTTGTTCATAAATTGCAGGAGGATGTTTCCCACATTTCAGGTGAGGATCTTTGGAATGGATCCATCTGCTGACTATGTTCTCCTCATGGATTTTATCCCTGTTGATGACAAAAGATACAGGTCAGGCATAAAGTGTTTGATTTGAGGCACCTGTCTCTCCAAAGCGTTCATCTGGACCTAAAACTTTTCCAACTGTGCCTGTTTCAGATATGCGTTCCACAGCTCCTCCTGGTTGGTGGCGGGCCGGGCAGATGTGGCAGCCCCGAGCAGGATGCATTTCCACCCAGACTCACCAGCTCCTGGAGCCCAGTGGGTGAAGCAGACTGTGTCATTTGACACACTCAAGCTCACCAACAACCTGCTAGATGACAATGGACATGTAAGTGGAGGTTTTTAGCATCACTTCTATGCTTTTATTTTGAAGAGCTGGACTTAAAGGTGCAGTCATTGTTTTTACAGTAAATGACAGATGTGTTATTATTTTGTCTTATCCAGATGATCCTAAACTCCATGCATCGCTATCAGCCACGTTTCCATGTGGTGTATGTGGACCCGACTCCTAACAGCCATTTAAATGCCTTTAAGAACTTCTGCACCTTCTCTTTCCCAGAGACAAGATTCATGGCCGTCACCGCGTATCAGAACCATCGGGTAGAAAAACAAGCTGCGCTGGGCTGCAATAAAAAATGAGTGAAATAAAGCTGTATTTAATAGATAAAGCTCTCCTTCTCTCAGATCACGCAACTAAAAATTGCGAGCAACCCGTTTGCCAAAGGCTTCAGGACCACGAACCCACAGCCATGGTGAGATGATTGCAGATTATGTTTGTTGTAGCTATCAGCTCAACATGGAATTGGTCTTTGACCTTTGAATGCTGAAAGGCAGTAGTAAACGGCATGCTGGTGACCTTGTCTCAGACATAATCATGACATTCCATGATAAGAAGATGTGCATAGCTGTAAAAAGTAGCTCCTCCCTTCTAAAAATGTATTTTTAGTATTTTTTGTTTTCTCCTAGACTTAGCCCTTTAGGCCCTAGGCATTTTTTCTCTGGGCCCTGGCGCCTCCCAGTTGGGGGCTTTTGGAGGTTCATGTCCCAAGTGGCAGTGATTGTTTGCATTCCCCGAGCACAGCTGCAGCTACAATCAAACCAGTTTAGATTGTAAACATAGCAATTTTTGGTTTTTGATACATTAAGATAAAATAATACTTGAACTTTATTTTAGAAGAGCTGCCCTGTGTGAAAGTGCTGATAGGATGGAGGTTGTGAGTTCAAATTCCATTTAGGAGATGTTTTTGTGGCAAGGTGGAGAAACGAGGGCCCGGGCGGGATTCGATCCCCAGACTCCCAGGTGAGAGTCACGCGTGCTAACCAGTCAGCCAAAGAGACATCTCATTGGCCAAGTAGCCAGGGCGCATGATCAATCGGGACACTGTGACAGGACGCTCACACTGCCTCATATTCAATTGCTTTATTTATTCCAGGGGTCCTCAACTAAATTTGTTCAAGGGTTTTTCTTTCCAGCAGACACCAGAGAAGGTCAGATGCTCTTCTAAAATAAAGTTCAAATATCATTGTATCTTAATTTATTACAATTAAAAATGGCCTTGTTTCCCATCTGGGCTGTTTGACTGTGGTTTTAGTTGTGTTTGGAGAATGCGGACAGTTGTAGGTGTTTGGGAAACTGTAGAGGCCCCCAATTGGGGGTGTTAGGGTTAAACAGGCTAAATGTTTCATACCAACAATCTAATTTTCATTTCAGAAAAAATTCTGACTAACAGCTAGTTCTCAAATAAATATTTTCTACATTGAAGAGGTAAAATGCAATCTACACCAATCTGGTTATCTGTGGAAAAATGAATAGTCCTTGTTAAATCATTAATGAACAGCAATTAACCACACTATTTAGAGCTGCGTTACAGCCAGACCCAGACCTGATCACCACTCGGGGATTAATAAATCACTACACAAAGTCTTCTTCCTTGTGCTAAAGAAATTCAAGAACAAAAGAAGTCAGGACAACGTCTAAGGCTCTGCACTTAGTTCAGGTCAGGGTGAGAGTTCATGAGCTCTCAAATGTGTCTGATTTCAGGATATTCAGAAGAGCGGGATAAAAGTCTCCACAGTGATGAGAGACTCAATACAAACTAATGTTACCGCCCAGAGTTGCAACCACTTCTTAGGCTGGTTCACAAAGACCCAGGTTGGTTTGGATGCATTCTGTTACTTCACAGACTAAATAATAAGTCAACAAACATGTTTTGTGTCTACTGGGGTATCGTTGTTTGAGATTTGTTGGTCTGAAATATTTAAGTGAGGAAAAAAGGCCAATTCTGATATGTGAACAGGCATTTTATTGACTTACGGTGACCGCACAGCTTGTAAGGATTTACTTTTGTGTGAAGGGAAGGTAGCGGGAGCCTCCTTGCAGTGTGTTGTCCACCAGAGGGCTTGGCTGAGCCTCTTACCAAACCCAGTGAGCATAGGAAATGTAGGTCAAAGACTTCTGCCAGTGAGTGAAAAACATCACAGAACCTTTCATCTGTGTTGGTTTTAATTCGTAAAACAGCACCTTTCTCAGAGTTGTCTTTCATCATTTTTGTTGACGTGTCTAAAGCCACATTTTTTCAGTCTATTCTTGAATTAACAACATTTTATGTCAACATGCTGGCTCATCAGTACCAGTCACAGTTTTCTCCTGCCTTCATAGGACAGAAAGCCTCGGTTCCTCGACTGGAGAAGTGTGAACATTTCCACCCTGGAAAAAACTCCATAGGACTCACTGTGGAGGGCAACAGTCTGATGGTACCAGCCTCTGGTCTCCACATCTCTTCTTACTGGGACTGTGCTGGATCATCTCATTAAAAAGTTTTACATTGGTTACGTTGTTCAGTTAACCATTTCCTTTGATCCTACACAGCTTCAAAGTGTGATTATATGTAGTTAACGATAGTAAAAATATAAAATCAGAGCAGTGGTCCTCAAGAGCCATTATCCCGCATGTTTTAGTTAGTTATCATTGAAACAAACCCGATTCGATGGTTCAGTCACCAGACTCTCATCAAGCTCATTATTCTAACTCCTGGGTTAGCAATTCTAAAATCATACAACAGTCCACATTTTATGCTTGCATGTAATAATTTAAATAAAAGCTCAAAAGAGTCCAAGAATAAACATTTAAAGGATCATAACAGCAACAGAGTGAAATCTCAGACATTAAAAGTGGATTTGCATATAAAATATTAGAAACTGAATCAGATTAAAACAACTAGATGCCCAAATACAATATATTTCAATAGCATTATCAATTAAATTCAAATGCAATGTCTTAGCTAATCAAACAACAACCAGGATTCTTAGTCCCTGTCTCTGGTCACATTCAGATCATTTCATCAGTAGAGAAGACACCAGCATACCTATTTTATTTATCTCAGGCAAAAAGATGCTGAAACACAGAGATGTTGTGGTTTTTAAGTCAGTCAAAACCCGCCTTTCTCATGATCCGCCCCGGCCTCCCTGACTGTGTTGCTCCTGCCTTCATTAGTCCAATTGTTCTCACCTGCCCCTCGTTAAAATGCCCATGTGTTCCCAATTCTCCCTGTGTATTTATACCTCCCGTCTTGTACCTGTCTTGTTGGATCATTCAATGTGCATGTCCTCGTTTTGCCCTGTCGCTCCCGTTTACTATTAAATCCATTTTTATTTCATCTGCGCCTGCTCTCCTGCCTCCTGAACCCTCCACCACACAGGGTCCACCATCTCCACTCCACCCAACATGACAGCCTAATCCAGAATGCAGCGTTCTTAAGATGATTTTTAGAGGTAGAGAGAATTCAACATGAAATGTCTTCACATTAAAAGTGGTGAAAATTTGTCCTTTTCATCAGGCAGTGGAAGTGTTGGGCAAGTTACTTCAAAACTGTAATGCATTATTTATTACTTGTTACCCTCATTTTAAAGTAATTCATTACATTACAATATTACTGATTTTAAAATGTAAGGCATTACACTACTTTTGCATTACTCTAAGTTACTTTCACCAAAACAACTTCAACATGAATCTGGTAATCTGACGCTCAGTGAGCTCATCAATCAATCAATCAATCAATCAAAGCTTTATTTATAAAGCGCCTTCCGCAACCCTGTCAGGAAGCCCAAAGCGCTGAACATGGTACAGTTAAGTAAATATATTGAATAAATCAACAATAAAAGAAATTCAAATTACAAAATACAAATTACAAAATACAAAATGGAAATTACAAGATAGATGAAACATTCTGGTAAAGGACAAATGTGTGAAACACATTTGGATTGAGTGGATGGATTGAGTGTACCAATGAAAACTGTGGAATGGATTCAACATAAAAGAGGGCCAAAATCAAACATGTTCTGGAAACGCCAAGCGGAGGAGGTGTGTTTTTAGGTGATTCTTAAAGACTGGCAGAGAAGGGGACAGCCTAACTGAGGGTGGCAACTGGTTCCAGAGTGACGGTGCTAGGACTGAGAAAGCCCGGTCCCCACGGGTACAACACCTAGACCGAGGGACAGCGAGCAGGCCTTGGTCAGAGGAGCGCAGAGCGCGTGATGGGGAGTGTCTTTTCAGGAGTGTGGCTAGATAGGGGGGACCACCACCCTGGAAGAAATGATAAACAAAGACGAGGATTTTGAATTGTGAGCGATAGCAAATCGGAAGCCAGTGCAGAGAGGCCAGAACCGGACTGATGTGGTCCCGTTTCCTGGTCCCAGTCAGGAACCTGGCAGCGCTGTTCTGCACAACCTGTAGAAGATGCAGTGTTGACTGACACAACCCTGCATATAGAGAGTTGCAGTAGTCAAGCCGAGAAATAACAAAGGCATGCAGTACCCGCTCCAGGTGGGCTCTCGACGGCATAGGCTTGATTTTAGCAAGGCGTCTCAGGTGAAAGAAACTGGACCGGATCACAGAATTGATGTGAGCGTCAAATTTAAGTCCTACATCAAGTTTCACCCCCAAACTGGTAACAACTGGTTTTGAGTATGGAGAAAGAGGGCCAAGATCAGCATAACGATCCACATTCCTGCTGTTGGGGTGAAAAACAATGAGCTCTGTCTTTCCCTCATTCAGATGTAGATAGTTGGACATTAGCCAAGACCTCACCTCATTAACACAGGAGACAAAGGACTGGATGGAGTGACCTTTCTCCTGACACAATGGAGAGTAAATCTGGCAATCGTCAGCATACAGATGGAATGATAGGCCATGTTTACGAAAGATTGACCCCAGAGGTAGCAGATAAATGGCAAACAAAAGAGGACCAAGGATCGACCCCTGCGGGACCCCCCAGCGGAGCCCCTCCCAAGAAGAAAAAACATCACCCAGTTTAACACAGAATGTCCTGTTTTGGAGATACGATCTAAACCAATCCAGACCTGACCCTTTGATACCAACCCATCGTTCCAAGCGATCGAGTAGAATCGCGTGGTCAACTGTGTCGAAGGCTGCTGTTAGGTCTAACAACAGAAGCAGCACAGATGTACCCTGATCTAGTGATAGATAGATGTCATTTAGGACCCTCAGTAGAGCAGACTCTGTGCTATGGCCAGACCTGAACCCTGATTGGAAAACCTCAAACAGATCAGAGTCAGCTAAATGTGAGACCAGCTGCTGATAAACGACTTTCTCAAGCAGTTTAGATGTAAAGGGCAGGGTAGAGATAGGCCTGTAATTTTCTATCACAGAGACATCAGCACCAGGTTTCTTCAGGGTCGGCCGAATAACTGCTGCTTTCAAAGCAGCTGGGACAACACCTGTGCTGAGGCTCCCATTGATAATCTGACCAAGTGATGGGCCAAGGCACGGAAAGGCAGCCTTCCAGAGACGAGGTGGCAGAACGTCAAGTGGAGAGCCAGATGGCTTCTGTCTCGCAACTAGCTTACTCAGCTCAGAGTATGAAACTGTATTGAGGGAGCTCAGGGTGGGTGGTGATGGAGGAACTGGAACAGGGTCAACAGAGTTACCAGAAATAGCTGCTCTAATGCCCGACACTTTATCAACAAAGAATTTGTGAAAAGCTTCAGAGTTTCCAGCAGCTGTAGGAGACATGGAGCTAGGCTCCTGATACACCAGAACAGAGTTTAGCGTTTTGTAGAGAATCTTAGGATTATTGGAGTTTGTCTTAATGATGTCTGCAAAATAGGCCATTCTGGCGGCCTTCACTGCATCCTGATAAGCAACCAGAGATGCTCTGAACAACTCACGCGAGACCTATAGGCCATCCTTTTTCCACTTTCTCTCCGAGGATCTACACGCCCGCCTGCAAGCCCGTGTGACATCAGAGAGCCATGGCTCCCTCCTAGGCCGAGACTTGCACAGTTTGAGAGGGGCAACCACGTCCAAGACCTGATTACAAAGTACATCAAAGTGTTGTGAATAGTGATCAACGTTAGATGGATCTGGGTTAAAGGTCTCTAACCTTACAGACATACAGTCCACAAACTTTGAAATAGTTTCTGCATCCAGGGCTCTGAACCTAGTAGCGGGAGCTTCACACACAGGGACAGGACATGGCAACATAACATCACAGAGTATAGGAGAGTGGTCAGAGAACACAGGGGGCAAAGTCACAAGGTTCGTGATGGGTAGACCATAAGAGATAACCAGGTCCAGGGTGTGACCCCTGGCATGAGTTGGGGATGATACCCATTGAGTTAGATTGAATGAATCTAGCAAATTAAAAAAACCTTTAGCAAGCACATTATCAGGACAGCAGATATGGATGTTAAAATCACCAAAAAATAGGACATAGTCATATTTTAGGATGCAGTCTGCCACAAGATCACAGAAATCATTAAGGAAGTTAGAGTCAGTCTTTGGAGGGCGATAAATCAGCACGACAAGCAAGCGGGGGGAGATGCACAGTTCAAATAAGCACAGTTCAAGGGAAGAAAATGACATGGTGGGTGTAAGCTGTTTACAAGGAAAGCTGGATTTAAAAACAACAACCAGCCCTCCACCTCTGCCCCGTGGTCTGGGGGTATTAAAACACGAGCAGCCAGGTGGTATCAGCTCGAGTAGGGAACTTGTGTCACCAAACGGGATCCAGGACTCACAGACGCAGAGAAAACCCAAGTCATGCTGAATAAAAAAGTCACGAAGAATAAAAGTTTTGTTCAGCACAGACCTGGCATTGACCAAACCAAACCGGGTCTGCAGCGGGGCTGCAGCACCAAGATCGCGCACGGACCCAGTCTCCTCTAACTCTGTGCCCGTAACCGAGCGCAGATTCTCCCAGCAAACCCCAATCTGGCGAGATCTTCGAGCCGGTCGGCCGTGGCGCGGTGCCGGTTCACCCTCAGAGCCGGCCGAGTTCCCTGAGCAGGGCGCCGAGTAATCCAGGAGACATCTCGGAACCATCGGGTCAGAAGCTGGGCCGGATCGGGCCAGCCGCTTGTTTAGGGATCCAGGCCGACGTCTCACGCGCCGGCTACCTCTCTTTCCTCGTCTTCTCCGATGCTTCCTTCTCGAGCTGGGGCGGACAGAGAGCCGACACATCACGGCTTGGGTGGAGAGAGCACGCGGGCAGTTCAACCAGCAGCATCGTCCGTGAGGTTCATGGCTCACACAGCCCGGTTCCCAGCGCGCGCTGCCGGCGACATCAACGGAAGGACGAAGCCTCAGCAGCACAGCTCGATCATATGTCAGCAGAGGATCCACACCATTCAAAAAAGGGATCAGCGACAAGAAAAGTGCATAAAAGCCAATAAAACGCCAATAAAATCCAATAAAAAGCAAGGTATCAGTGCGTAAAGAGGACGAGCAGCTCGCAGCGTGACCGTGCGCAAGCGCCATCTTACTCCACTCTTACATGACATATATGTGGAAAGTGATGTGGTGTCTGAGCTAGGATTGCTGTTAAAAACAGTCAGATATAATAACAGCGCTTTAAAATGATTGTTTATTAAATAAAAGCAACAACAATCTGTACTCTCAGCACGCTGCCATCTTATAGGGCCATCTGAGCAGAGAGTGAGGTGGTGGGGGCTCCAAGCCTATATTTGCCTTGGTCCCCAAATGCCTTGATACGGCCCCCATTAGTTTTTGAGGTGGCAACACCTGATTAGATAATGTTACTGTGGCAGTGCTCAGGACGCAGATGTCTGGAGCGCGTCAACAATCAGAGCTTTGCATGTGCAAGCTGGTTAAGGTTAGGATGGGGGTGAGGGGAATGTTAAATTGCAAGAGGGTAAACGTCACAATTTGGTTAAATGTCCGTTTTACGGCGGGTGTCAGTACCGACGCTCTGGCACAGCGCATTGCAACCCCACCCCCCACCCACCCCCACCCCCGACGCGCAGGAGCTTGTCACCTGCTGACAGCAGCCTGCTGACTTTTCCGAGGGCTGCATCTTGCCGGTCATTATCACGTGACAGCGACTAGTCGATGACAGGCATAAAAAGTCACTATAGTGAAGTCGACTAGTTCATACAACCCCTGCTACTGCTCCCCAGTGTTATGCAGCATAATCAGCACGTTCTCTTTGAACTTGATATCAAATTTTCACCTCCTCTTCGTCTCCGCACCTGCCAAATCGCAGTCTGTCACTGGCAAATGAAAAGTGATACGGATGACACAACCACCCCCCGTGGTACTTGCTTGTTACCACATTCCACCCGGCCACAATAAAATACCGGCCATTATTCACCTCCGCCGACTCCGGCACCGGCCAAAATATGATACCCGGCCGTTAATTGAATACAGGCCATTATTAGAGGATTTACGGTATATCTGTTTTTAACAGCAACACTAAC